ATCGGCAGTTTCTAAACTGCTCCATTCTAGCTTACGGCCTTGTTTTATCTCAAGTCCGACTTGGTTATAATGTCGCTCTAGAACTTGCAAACAGGTATTGGTAAGGTCACCTTTACATGGGTGCTTATCAACACCTCCCTGAAGATCGTGGACAAAAAAGAGTAAATTATCGCTTGGCGACACGGAACGATTAGAACATATATCCAAATTATTTCCTGCTGCTTTGTGTGATAAGCAATAACTGGTAAAGACATTTTCGTTGAGAGCCAACCCAGCGTTACCATGATAACCTGTTTGAGGCTCGGAAAGAACAGTTTCTATATCTTCGGGCCTAATGGTGTGGCCACTTGGAAATCTTTTATTATATTCTGTTAGGTCAGTGCACATTTCAAAATTCCAGTCGTAGCGATCTCTCTCAAAGTACCATGCATAAGAGAGGATGATGCTGACTGGAGAGATAAAAGTCGTGTAAAACTTTCTGAAGGCCTCCTCAAAGTTATTTGTATTTAAATGTTTTAGGATATGCTCTCTGCAGTGAGTGACCGTGTCTCGGTACATATATACCGGAAAATACGTCATAAAATCAACGACAAATGGTAATCCTAGCGCCTGTTTAGTAGTATCTGCCCATTTATATACCCAGCTCCTGTAGAATGTGCAGGCGGAGCCTAAGGCTCGTACCTTTGTCCCATTAAAAATAGTGGACTTAGTTACTGGGGTAAAAAAAGCTGAGTCGCTGTCCATCCAAGCAATGACGGTGTCATTTGATAGTAGGTCGATGAAAAAACTGCTCCAAAGTTGTCTGTTATAACCGGGTGTCTTAGGCGAGCCTTTAAACTCCAGAGTTCCTTTGTCCTTTGGAAGGGCCTCATAAAAGAATTCAAGTCTACGATCAGGAAAGTATTTTTGGGCAAGTGTTTTTAATTTTTCGGCAAATTCATGATCCTCTTGTGATTCTTCATCAAGTCCTACGACTAAATTTCCAAAGGAAGGAGGCCAGAAGAGAACGGAAGTCCTGAAAACGTTACACAAATAACGCTGCCTGTGATCTGGTCGTTTCCCAGACATCCTTACGAACACACTTGTTGAGGTATCTGGGGTGTGCTTTGTTATCCCTAAGATCTCTTTGTTTGTCACAGGTCTTGCGGTGCTGTGGTTGCTAACTGAGACTCGGGAGGTTTTGTAGAACCAAGGTAGCGAAGTTCCCCTTCCCGAGATCACATGTGATATAAGTATCACCATGGCGGAGAGGGCTAAAATAAGGCAGATGAGAACACCTGTTCTAACACTTCGTAAAACCATTGTCTAGTCAGTTGTATAGCTTTCTTCACATGGACTACTGCTACAAAAGAGAAAAGAAAAATGGTAATTAAATTTAATTTTTGGCATCTCATAAATGGTGCCATGTAGTGCTGAATGCAAGACAGTCTTGACAGTCTAGATTCCACGCTGTGGGTTAAGGATTCTAGGGACTAGATTCTGTATTTCTTATCAGTAGATCTTTCAGGGGCACCCAACGTCATTTTTCGGAAAATATCTGTTTGGAAGCACGATTTGAGATCTAGAATTATCGGAACATTTTTTGTAAAATTTCTTGCTTGTCTGCCTCTCCTAGGATTTTCGAACATCTAAAAATTGGTATACCTTATTATAGGAAATTAACGCTCCATAAAAGGTATTGGAAATTAACGAGACTTAAATCAACGCGAATTTAATGGAAAACGACTTTCGAATAAAGAAAATTAACTCGAAAGAGGAGGTAGAATTTTATAATAAAGGAAATTAACGCGATTAAGACACGGTGGTGACAACTAGAACAAATTTATTTCAACACTGGATGCAAAAAAATTCAAAACTGAACAAAACTGAGATGACATCACATCTGACAGTGACAACGATGAAGATGAACCGAAATATTGTAAACCTTCGCCCTAGCTTTTGTGAAAGTTTGTAGTTAATTACGTTTTTTAGGTGTCAAGAATGTCTGGACAGGTTCCAAAATTGGGGTTAAAATAGTGGAAATTAAGTGCGCGGAAATTAACACTGCACTTAATTAACGTCGCGGAAATTATCGCTCAACAAAATTCACGCGTCTTAAATTAACGCGAATCATGGAGAGTTAATTTCCTATAATAAGGTAAGGTAATTTCTGGCTGAAATTTTCGAAAAGGTAAGTTTTAATCCCTATAATTTTCGGATCACTAGACTTTCAGCTAGGAAATCTGAACAGATGAAAAATTTTTAGGAGATAAAAATATGCCGAGATATCTACCGTTTAGATACTAAAATACGTTTAATAATGCTATGTTTAAGTGGTTTTGAACTATATTCTCGTTGGGTGCTCCTGATCTTGGAGTCGGGATTCCTTGAGCCCTGGATTCGGGATTCCAAAGCTCTGGATTCCTGACTCCACAAGCGGACGAGGAGGAGACTTTTGACGCAGTATTTCGGTTGCCCTTGATATTACTCTCCCAGACGTTCTTTTAGAATACTACTGACCGGGGTAGAATTGATAAGTTAGAAACAGTTTGACTGCTTTGGCCAAAGCTGGCGAACGCTTGAACGATATTGACGAATATTAAGGCTCAGAATTACCTGTCTGAGATCACCAAGAAACCGATGTCTCGCAACGTTGAAGATTTCAAGGTTGAAGATTTCAAGGTTATAACTACAGTGTATACCGACGATTTTCAAAGACAGCGTACGTTGTTATTCACTGAACTCTATTATCTATTGCCACGATACTCGCACTTACAAAAACTTGAGATGTACGTTACGTCTTGTGAGTGGCTGGTACTGAGGACAAAAAAACAGAATTGCGTTGGAGGGACAATGGTCTTGTTGGGTTGATGGCGATTGAAATGAAACAATGGAAACTAGACGCCGAAAGGCGTTCTCAGGGCCGCCCTTGACGTAGACTGATATATTGTAAACGCATTTTTTCAACCCATACCGATAGACGGGCCTCATTCAACTGATTGCACTGTGTCTATTGCAACCTTGTCAATTTTAAAGATCACCCGCATTTTGAATTCATCGGCTCGTTCTCTAACTAATCAAAGAATATAGATTAAAAGGTCAATAACAGTAGTGTTGTCCCAGCATTTTCGGCCTGGACAAGTACCAGCTAAGTACCAGCCAATTTGTGGCTCATAACTAAAATGCGCGGGAAACCTGCTTAATTTATGCGAAACATGTTCACGCAAGTACCAGTAATGACCTCACCACACCATAAGGATAGCTCATTAATAAAATGCACAGGAAACGTGTTAATTAATGTGGGCATGCTAAAATGTCAACTTGGCAAAGTAAAACAAAAGGATCACGAAGTATGTTCAGGCAATTACTAGTTTAAATTAAATGTTTTTATTACAGTTCTTGACTACTAAGTTGCAATGGCTATACGACTGAATTAAAATGTAGTCATTGCATCTGTATATCACCTCTAATATGTGGGGGTACAGATTACATATTACCTCTTGAGTCAATTGTAATGTGCATCGTGCTGTATATTTTGGTTGGTTTAGAAAACAAGAGAAGTTCTCTCAAACATCAGCTGGTTTGTAAAATGCGTAAGACAATTAGAAAATGAAAAAAAAAATTAACTTTCACAACAAACACAAAGTTCACAAAGAAATTAAATTAATTTTAGAGTTATTTAATAAAAGGGTCATCTAACAGAACCTTCTTCTGCTATGAAAATTATGGCATCTAACAATCTGGATGGGAGTGGGGGGGTGAGGTCTCTTTGAACTTAAAAATACTGAGGAGAGGGGGGCTCATCAACAAGTTTTGGAAATCAGAGTGTAATAAGGGATAAAAATATTGTGGCTTCCATTGCGGGGAGAGGGGGGGGGGGGGCGGAAGGGATGTCGATTTTTCTGGAATAACTAAACCAACCAACCCAGACTGCTGGCTAACGTTACACATCTTTTTACCACGACTTACTGAATTATTCACCATAAGTTAACTCATGGCTGCACGAAGAAAAACAGATAAAAAAATACGGTTCTGAAAGGCAAAGCACATACTAAAACTTACGACTTATGTAGTCGCACATTTTTTAGTTTCTTTTTCAACTTTCACAACTCTCCTTCATTTTATTTTATTACTTCATCGCGCTTTCAAAACAAGAACACAAACATGACGTCGGGTTGTTGGGTAGAGCTATAGTGGCATTAAGGACCACCTCGAATAGCCTGCGAACAGCAGACGTATTTCCGGTCGTCGAGAAGTGCCGGTTCAACTTCAAGTCTTTAAATTAAATAAACAAAAGGTTAATTTAAAAAAAAGTTGTTGCGCGGTAATTCTTAGTAACGAGAAAATTTGGTCCTCAGTTAGTGTTTTGCAATTTAGTTTTCAATCAAAGTTTTATAACACCTCTGAGACCTCCTTAAAACTATCTTCACAGACTGTCTTCAGGATACGAACGTAAGTGTTATTAGAAACCAAATTCCCTTCCTGGAAAGGCGTTTGCAGCTGCGATATCGAAATAATAAGTAATTTTGGTTACGATCTTCGTTTGTTCAAGTGGTACGTTCGTTCACACTTCTACTTCGAAGTTCGCATAATAATCAGTTTTCTCCAACTCATTAAAAACTTGGGTTGAGCTACGCGCCTTGACACCTTTTAATTTCTCTGTTCCAAGTTGAATCAGTTTTAAGAGAATTTTACTCTTTTGATAAATCTCGGAAAAATTTCACCATTCTGACTAGCGATTTCAATGCAAAATTTTCACAGCAGCAGCCGGAAACAGTTCAATTACGGTTTCTTTTGATCCTATATTTATAAACACTCCTAAACACCTATTTTTCACACATGAATGCTATCGCTCTTTCTTAAGCACTCTGTAAGCTAGGATATATTCAGTTTTAGTTCTGGTCAAGCTCGTCACTGCTACACAGAAGAAGATTAGACCAAGTTAAACTGTCAAGTCCTGTTGGTCTATTCCTACAAAATCTGTACCCCCCACACTTACACAGGAAAATGCGATTGACGAAATATATATAAAAACGACAATGAAAATAGGAAATCTGGATTTAACTGCTAGCGACATAGCAACAACGTGCCACGCATTCAAACTGCAATATACAAACTACTAGCGTAAGTCGCTTTATTATGTATCTTAGCGGGCAAGATAATCCCATCTGGACTGCTCAGGATTTTCCGAGTTGGCCCCACGAAAAAAGTCCTCTTTTCGTCCATTATTATGAATCCTTTATTGACCAGCAAGGTTGTTCGCTCAAGATGGTTAGATTTTTTTCCTCCTTCATTGTTGCATTTTTATTGACCTGATCAACTTGGCCAATATTCAGCCATCTTACATATAATGCGCACTCACTTGGGAATAAAGTAATATGAAGAGAACAAATTAGGAAAATTAGCATAACGCGCTCATACAGGGAGCTGCTGAAGAATAGGTCTAGTGTACGTGTAAGGTTTGTGTTTTGTAAACCAACAATTGCAATTAAGAATCTAGTGAAGACACAGCCTTTAGAGAGAAATGAGCGCGACATTCTGCAGAAAAAGGTAATGAAACACAAATAAAATATTTGTTGTTTCTCGCTGTCGCGGACCGTTGCTATCGCCAAATGGCATATAACAAAACATTGAGAAGACATTGAACAATACCCCCAGCACAACACACAAGCCAACCAACAATGGTTTCCGCTGCAACACCAAGAAACTGCATGCCGAGAAAAAATGAAGGCTATTCAGGAATATAAATGCAGAATGTATAATAGCTTTTGGACGTGACCACGCTTGAGTTCTCACAGAAATGGTAGAATTTGCTGCCTTGCACTTCCTGTTCTCAATAAACATAAAATTTGGCCAATTCACGTCGAAGTTGTGCGTAAGGACGGTAATGAGGGTAGTTTGCATGGGAGCACGTCTCTTTTTGGTTTGCATGTAATAAAAATTTCATTGCATTGTTTTATTTCAGGACATTGAATTAATCAACCGTCAACTCGTAAGTGTGTCATTACAGAAATAAAATTTAGAAAAGTGGCCAAAACGCAAAAGAAATAATCGCTAAATTCCCCAACTTAAACATGTGTAGTCCGCCCGTTTGCCATATACTGCGAACCAGAAGTTATTATAGCCTTGTTGATATAAATGCTAATGAGATAATTTCGAATTCTGTCGACGAGTTGTTTATGTATGTGATGTCTAAACTGAGAAATTACGTTCGACGAAATCAGCTCTTTCAGTAAATAATTTGACTTGGAACTTCAAAATGTACGAATATGGTTTCGACTTCCGCTTGGATTAGGCACTGCCGTAAATGGATCACTACATTCGACGTATAGTTGATATTGGAGATGTTAAGCATCACGTTTACGTCGAACGGCAAACGCGAATTTGTACCGTGTGACCAAGGTTCCCGTACTGTTTATTATTTCAACATGTAGATAAGAATTGTTTTGAGCTGTTTTTATCGGCTCATTTTCTATTTTGAGAAATTCTCAACTTGAATCTGACGTTTGCCGTTTGCCGTATACGCAATACTTAAACTCCATATTGTAGCTATTTAGAAACTCCCATTTATACGCAATGACGCTGGGCGAAACGGATCTCTGAATCAGAGGTTAACTCACTAGTCCTGGTTTAAAATCTTATAAATGCGTTCTGAATGTTACAAGAACCATCGTTTCAAGATGAAACCCGACTTACCGTTCGAAGTAGATTGTGAAAGAGCAACAGATCTCAAGATATATTTTCCGCGTTCAATACCCTGCCTAGTTAGTCTGCTTCACAGCCGTTGCTTTCCCTTTGTGTTTGTGGTCTACCGAACAAACCAGTCATGTATAAGAAACTTAACAATACGTAAGCCGCAGGGCGCTAGGAGCGAACACGCTTCTCAGTTTTCGACAAATCAATCAATCGTCGCTGACCCGGAATTTTCATGAGCTCTGTGTCTGCAAGCAACGAAAAGATTGTCTTAAGCGGTTAACAAAATTCCAAGTGAAAAACAAAAAGGTTTGATAGGCCTACAAGACTCTTACCAGGATCGGTTGGTTCTTTTTAACCTGCATATGTATGACGATTTTCATGTGCCAGATGTGCTCATTGTGTGGTTGGACAGGTGAATTAAACTCTCGAGGGTACTGATAACAGGGGTCTTTTTTGCATGAGCATGCGCGACCGCTGATTTGCCAAAGAGCACGCGATCAGTGATAGCGACCGTGCTGCATAGTCATAGGAACCAAATTGTTCTCTTTGAAAGCTTGCTTGAGATTGAAATGGTAGCAGGAACTTAGGAAAGACCTTCGTTGTACAAAATAGGTAAAGATCTGTTGATTTAAAGTGGAGACTGATGCGCTGAACGAGGTGAAAGAGTAAGTTTCTCAAGGATGTCTGACACGTGCATGGCTGCTTGTTGTTGTTCGGCGCTCGACTCGTGTCTTGATTCCCCTTTAAGAACCGCAAAGTTTGGCATAGAATGCATTGCTGATGCGTAGCTATTGAGCAAAATGTTCTTTATTTATTGTTTGTCAATTGTTTGTCTATAAATCGGATGTAAATCAGTTTCTCGATGCCGTAGAGGATTTCTGTCAATAATTTGTAGATAGCTGATTTAGCCATATTTCGGGAGAGGATTAATAACGATCAGCGGGCGACTACCACGCCGTTTTCAGTTGGAATAGAAAGTTTTTGCCTTAAGTATTTTAGCGGTACAAAGTTTGTTTATAGGAAAATTGTAGAACTTCTTGCTTTTCCGTGGACTAACATTGTAACGCATCTTTTACAGGAATTTGCTTTAGGCCAGAACTTAAGTGTTCTAATGATTTTTAACTTTTGGTCGGCATCACATGTTTACTGTACTTCTTGGGAAACCTAACCGTTTGTTTCATCAAAATCGGTCACAAGATTGGACTTTAATTTCGGTCCTATTGAATGCAGTTTTGACTGTGTCTCATCGATATTCATTTTTTTTATTGTTCGAGACATACAGAGTGACTACCACCAACATCTCACCAGGTGACTAATCAACGTCTCGTGTGCTCTTAATTTTGTAGCTTTAAAGTGCTGGGAAAATTGTAGAACATATATTAATTCACTGCTGAACTACTGAACATCGGCGTTCGCGCACTTCGAACCCACTCGCTGAAATTTGCTATCTTTTTTTTTTTAATATTTCTCTTCCTTTCCCATTTCGAAACAAAGAAAATTGAAAGTGTTTACTTGCGTCAACAAACGTTTCTGCACTTTGTTTAGACTTTGATGAGGTCAGCGCAATCCTCCAGGTACTACATATACGCGCGCTGTTGTCCAGGTCAGTAGCTCGTGTATGTTAAAGCCGGTCTACTTCGCTTTTGTTAAAACCATGTTAGAGTTTTTTTGCAAACTACACATTTTGTTAAATCACGAGCACATTCGCCAAGACCAACGAGCAAAATAATCGCTATGATAGCTTTGAGACGCGCCATTTTGATGAAGGCAAACCCTGTGGTGAGCCTCCATGCAAATCACTCAAATTGTTCGTTCAAGAAGGGAAAGGGTATGTTGACTTGAAATTCTTTTCTTTTTTCTGCCACTTTGTGTGTAAAAAGCATCAACCAATAATAGTTCTGTACAGTGACAAATTACAGTTAATAGTAGTTTTGACTTTAAAATGACCAAGTGGATCACCCATAAGCCTCTATTGCATCTCCATTAGACAAAAGTATATTTAATTGCAGACTAAACTGTAATAACAGCTGTAAGTTGCTGTTTCAGTTGCAACCTAGTTGGGCAGAACAGTAGCTATGACAATATTGTTTCCTTTCTCAAAACTAGTGTAGGTTTCAGTATGATATTTTTACCACCTTTTATTATTATGTAAGCAGTTTTTAGCATTTTATGTTTGAAATGTCATTGGGCAATAGTTTTTTATGTCATATTTTTTAATGTAACCGGGATTGTTTTTTTGATTTATATATTTTTAAATAGTTTTATGTCACCAGGCAATAGCTTATTATGCAATTGAGTCTATACATATATATTATTATATAGTGTCTCCAAGTAGTGTGTAACACTAGAAAGAATTGACAATTTGAGAAAGTTACTCACTTACTCACTCTGCAAAATATTTCACACTAATAAATTCATTTTAGATATTTTTTTCTGCAATTATTACTGGAATTAAGACTTTTGGATAATACCAATTCCTAGTACATGGCATATATGTAGCCTGATTTTAATGTGAATTTTAAAATCTCTTTCAGCTTTTCAGTGCACGAGTTAAAGTGGCGAGGGGCCAAGAGATGGAGTTGATGCAAGAGCTCAACTATGACTTTGTGAGTGACGAGGAAGATGGACCAGAAGGAAATTGGATCATAAGGTCACCAAGATGGAGGTCCCCAAGGGCCAATGAATTGATGAGCCGTCTACAAGGACGAATAGATCAGACGAGAGAAGAAGAAGTGCGGCCACGTGTGCCAAGAGTTAGGTTAAAGGTTAAAGGCATGTTTATAGTGGAAGGTGCACTTAGCTAGTCAGTTAATTTACAGGCACTCCATGCACTCAAATATTTAGAAACAAATAATTCAAATACAACATAACAGGATTAAAAACCACAACTGGCAGAAGGCAACCAGTTGGCTATTTACAAGCGTGGCCGAGAATTTAAACTCGGGACGGCCGAGCACAAATCCAGCAAGTGGCCAGAGCGGGACTCGAACCCGGGACCGCCGGATTGCGAGTCCGACGCGCTGACCACTCGGCCACGCTGCCTCCCTCAAGTTGAGGGACCTCTCTCAGAAAGGCCCAGGCCCAAGGTTCATATACCTTGGGCCTTAGGGGAAGAGGCAGCAAGAGGTTTTGCTGAACCCAACTCAGAGCCAGAGGAGGTGCAGATAGAAACTCCTGCAGCATCACCATCCAGGAGGAGAAGAAAAAAGATTCCATTCTTTAAATGATGACTCCGAAACTGATTAACTCATTGGGCTATTTTTTTAAATCAGTTTATTCCTTAACATACTGTGAATAGTATTCCTCGTGAGAAATTTTTCTTCCTCTTTTTTCTTTCAAGGTTAGGGTTTCATTCCAAATTTTTTAATAGAATTTTTGAATGAATTTTTTCTACTGCAGAGCTCAGTATTGCTCACATATGAATAGCAATATCATTACTATATTGAAATAACATAGATTTTTTTTTCTGTTGGAATGAAAAGGTTTATCCTAAGGAAGTGCATGTATTTATAAACTAAAGATGATTTGCTAGGCAATGATTACCGTTCAGTACTGGAGGTTTCTTGGATTTTTTTTAAGAAATTTTGTTCCTTTATTAAAGCATCCCAAATTTTTTAATAGAATTTTTGAATGAATTTTTTCTACTGCAGCAGTATTGCTCACCTATGAATAGCAATATCATTACTATAAAAACATTGAAAGAACATAGATTTTTTTTTTATGTTGGAATGAAAAGGTTTATCCTAAGTAAGTGCATGCATTTATAAACTAAAGATGATTTTCGAGGCAATGATTACCATTCGGTACTGGAGCTTTCTTGGATTGTTTTTAAGAAATTTTGTTTCTTTTAGGGTTTAAAGAGACAATGTCATCTCTTTTTGCAATTACCCAAGAGGAAACTTTTAATCAGTGGCAAATGAAAATCCAGGACAAAATTTTAAATGGCATTTTTTACAAATAGTTAAAAAGAGAGTTCTTGGTAGTAATAACAAACCGTTTAGTTAATGGAATCCCCGAATGAGAAAGCAGCGTTTTCAACTTACAAGTATTGTAAATATTGTATAAATGACTAAAATGTTTTTTATTAAATAAAGTTTTGTTGGCTGATAATTACAATGTCTTCCTTCATTGAACTGGCGAGACAAAAAGTAGTCCATAAAGACGTTCTTAGGGCTTCCTCACGTGTCCCTTCCTTAAGGAGAGCGTTGCGAAGCCCCAAGAACGACTGCGATGGAGGCTTGTCAAAAAGGAGACTTCTGTAATCCGCGTAGATAGATCTAAGTATAGACCCCATGTCAGAGGGGAATCCTATAAGACCAAACCATCAAACGACCCAAAAGCGTAAACATTCAATAAAACATAAAACACGTTCGTGTTCAAGAAGATGCAAACTGAATTTCAGGAACCAGATATAAGCATTGCTACTCGCGATCGTATATTCTTGGACACGAAGAGTGTTCGTAGTTGTTCTACTTTGAATACTGCAGAATACCAAGTTCCGCAATGTCATGGCCTTTAGTGCGCGTTCGCAAACGCGCGAACACTTGAGATGTGCGTTAGTATTCGGGCGTGTTCGCGTCGGGTATACCGTTCGTCACTGTCGTGTTCGCGTCGTATGCGGACTCGAAAATTTGTGGTCATGCTAAGATGTTCCAATGACAAATGATCATCATTGTTCGAAACTGGTCAAAATTGATCGTTTTAGAAAAGGAGTCGGGAGTATGCCGTCTAGAATGCTTCTTAGTATTCCAGGGTATTCTATTTGAATTCGGAGAAACAGTCCGGATTCTAAGTAGAATATTCTAGGTGTACGTCGCGTCATGCGTCCTTGAATACTTCAGGATATTATCGTATACTCCACGTGTACCTATCCGTATTCGGGCAAAGTCGGTCGCGAATATGTGCCTTTTTGCCCAGTGGTGGAAGGTATGCATACAAAAATACTGGCTCGGGATGGGATAGAACGGGATAGGACGAACACGTGCGGCCAGCTAAACGTCTCTAAACGTTCGAGAGAGTGGAGTTGTCGATCGACACAATCCAGTATAAACATGTCAAAAATCCAAGATTGCTAACGTAATTCGTCACCCTTGATATTAATAGGTAATCAAATGGTATACGCGTGAAATTAGGGAATAATTTCACGCGCGTTTTGTCCAAATCCGAATAATTATAAGGATTTGGACAAAACGCGCGAAATTAGGGAATAATTTCACTCGTCAACATTTGATCACACATACTTATTGTATCGCTGAATCCATGAGCGGTTAAGATGAAGCGAAGCCTGCTTTCTGATTGGCTACATGAGCGGGCACGATGAGCCTATGCCCTCTCGGGATTTCCCGCGTTGATCCCTCTAGAATACGTTTTCCTTTTGGCCATATAATAAAACGTTTATTGAGCAAGCTTTTTCTGTCAAAATGGCTGGATAATGGCCTCGTTCTTTTTTTGCCTTTTTAGTTACTTGAACACATTTTGTGAATGTCCGTTGCAGATATTCCTGGAATGGGTTGCTATTTCTTCAGCTATGAATGGATTCTTAGCAAAATCACCTCACATCCCCTGGAAATTTTACTGTAAACGCCTTTTGAAGCCGGTCGAACTGTTCCCTGGTCTCTATCTGGCCAGAAAGAACCAAAGCTGCCCTGCAATGTAGGACTTGAAGATACTCCCGATGTATGGGTCGGGTAAATCACCCATAGCCTGAAACCGTGCACGTTGTTCAGTAGATGAACAAAACATCATCGTTGCCCGCCGTTGTCGTAGTATTAGGGAGCTTAAGCCCGTGCACGTTGTTATAGATGAACAAAACATCATCGTTGCCCGCCGTTGTCATAGTATTAGCGAGCTTAAGCACAGGCGTTTCTGAGCGGTACATGTCAAACTGAAGTGAAGCCTTGTCTCTTTTAATATACCTTGACTCTGCCATGTTTGCAATGCAACGTGTTTTTACTCTAATAAAGACGCTTTGTCGGAAAAAAATGGGCGAAACCACTGCCGAAGAATTCAAAATGTCCACTCAGTATGGTTGATGTGCGTCGGTCAAAAACCTCCCCGCTTAAGCTCCCTGTTCATATGAAGTCCCCACTGAGATTCTCGCGAAATGAACTCAAATCAGTTTTTATGGCGAAACAATAATTAATCTTGATTATTTTTCTTCTCTGACTTGCACCCATGCCGAAAAACGATGGAATGCATCTTTGCATATCATCGAGATGTGAAGTTGTTACTTCTGAGCATGATTCCTATTAGTTTTTGTCTCTTTTTTTCTTTCTAGCCGTGAAAATTTAAACCCGCTTAGGTATATCCTTGCCGGAGGTATGTTGTGTTTGTTCACTTATGTAAAGATAATCCATGAAAAAGAAGAAGGAGAATCAGTCGCAACCCTAAGAATGGGAATGGTCCTAAGTATCAAAACAGTTTGCAAACGCTTGCTTTGAAGTTGTTAAAGGATTCCTAATAATTAGCAGCGCTTTATCAAAACAAAAATAAAGATTTTATTTTGACACCTAGGAACTGTATTTGGTAAACACCACCAATTGCCCAGAGAGAGGGAATAACTTTTTCCCCCAACCGGTCAGATATAAATGCGATTTTGATACTTTTTATGCTCATAATTTAATTATATCTATACTACTGATTAACGTTAGCTTTATAGGATTTTTTTTTTTTGGAGGGGGGGGGTATTGCAGTGTGCTAGAACTGAACTCAAAAACCTTGCTCCTTGGCCTCCGAACCCAAGAAGTTTGAACACTGCCTGTTAAGTAGACTTGCCTTCAAATTTAGCTCAAATTTTTTTCACGAGCGCGAAGCGCGAGTGGTAGATTTTTTATCTTTTCTGAAGGAAAAGTGAGCAAGAGAGTAGACTTGCCTACAAGTCAAGCTCATATTTTTTCACGGGCGCGAGGCGCGAGCGGTAGATTTTCTATCCAACTACCGGAACCGGAAATGAGAAGCGAAGGACTTAAAGAAAGTCTAGCGAGAGAGCGGGAGCTCAACTTGTTTCCCCTGAAAAAAAATCGCAGCAAGTGACCTCATTTTGGCGCGAACTATTTACGTCCCTGACGCGTGTGTCAAAGTTTGTCAAAACAAGTCGGTAATGTTTTTCCTACTCATGGCTGCCAGGTAAAACTGGCCTTGGTAAATACTCAAATGGAGTAAAAAAAACGCCCACTAAATCTTTTGTGTGCGTTGCAGTTCCCAATAATGTTTGCCAACAAAATGCACAGCTCAATTGAATTTATAAATAGTTAAATAGTTCAAGTCACGTTTCATCTGGCGTGATCTTGTTTGATTGACGGCCCAATAGTAAAACCGTTCTTGATTGGGTAAAACTCACAGGAGGAAAATTCCTTCTGTAAATTTGGCGCGCTGCAGTGGATAAAAGTCCTTGGCGCTGGGGCCAACTACCGAAACAGGAAATGAGAAGCGAAGGACCTGTTAGGCTGATATTTTAAACAGCGTTAACCCAGAAATTCAAAATCCTACCCTGGTTTCTTATGGCATAGCGAAAATAGTTGTGCTGCCTTTTTTCCACCTCGGCTTTAATTTCATGGATGTGTTTGTGTGTGTTTTTACCTTATAAGGTACGACAGGCATGATCTGCTGGTTCTCCATTCTTCCCGCCGATGTGTTGAAATCACGTGTACAAATAGGTAACTCATGAAACATAGATACGTAATCGCGTGCGTTCACTTGTCGAACGTTTCGCCCGAAGTTTTGTTAGCATTGCACGTCCGCAAGTGTTTTTGTTTGAGCGTTCTTCCTCCGTTCACCTGCTAGTTCTTGCATATGTGCCTACGTTGTTCTGTGCTCATTTGGAGGACAGGCAAGACTCAGTGAGTCAACCGGGCTCTGTAATTTTGTAGGGAAGCTTTTTCTTTGCTCTTCCGTTGACGGAAAGAAGTTTCAACAACATTACGGCATATCGTGCGTTTATCTTCAAATTGAATTCTGGATATTGAATAAGTAATGGAAGACCTTACGACATATCGTTAAAATTTCGTCGTGGTTATAACGGGGTCGTAATTATGAACGGACCCTGGCTACAATTGTAGGTATGTTCAGTGAAACGTTTTAGAATTCCTTTTTTGTAACCAGCCTCGTTATGCTCTTTCCTCAAGACTTATCTTCTTTCGTTGTTCTTTGCCCTTTGTTAAACTTAACAGTTTTTCTGCCTTTGCAAGTCTAGTCTTTTATCTTAAAGTGAAACAATTGTCCCTTGCACAAACTCTTTAGAGACTCCCTGTTTGCAGAGAATGTTATAGACTTATATTTATTCTTCCTCCGTAGTTGATTTTCTTCCTCGACCATTCTTTTTTAGCTCCCGAAGGAAAGTATCCTAGAGGCGTAAGAGATGCATTTATAGCACTAGTAAGTTCGCTGTGTACAGGCCGTGGCTGATTTGTTGATCACTTGAGAACATTTAGTACATTTTGACGTCACTCTTATAAACTATGGTAGTGTAGTCAATATAGAAAATTGTGGTCAATTTGTTGCTTGTTTGTTTATTTGTCTGAAACCACAACGACGACAACGTGAAAAAAGAAAAAAATTGGTTTCAAGAGCAAAACAACAGCTCCGCACGTGCAACATCCTTTGATTCACACTTCTCAAACTCATTAATAATACATTAAGAAAATACAAAGGAAAAAAAATGAGTGTTTGGAAATCAGATGAAAAACTGCTCATTTTTGCATCCTTAATTTCTCTTTCTAAAATCATTTTGTTTGAAAAGTAATATCAAGCATTCGACACTGTTTCATCACCAGATGAAACTCCTTGAAGTTGGTCAAAAATACTCCGCTGCGCGTCGTATTTTTAACTTTCTTCTCGGTGTTTCATGTAATATATCAAACATGAGATGCAGTGTTTCATCACCAGATGAAACACCGAGAAGAGAGTTGAAAATACGACCCGCAGCGGAGTATTTTTGACGAACTTCGAGGTGTTTCATCTGGTGATGAAACACTGTGTCGAATGTTTGATATTTCTTCTCAAACAAAATCATTTTTGAAGGAGAAATTAAGGATGCAAATACTAAGCAGTGTTTCATCCGATTTCCAAACACTCATTAAACATTAATTTCCTTTGTATTTTCTTAATGAATTATTAATGAGTTTGAGAACTGGTGATGAAACACTGCATCTCATGCTTGATATATTACCTCTTTGACGTCCAGTGTGCGACTAGGACGTGAAACTTGAATTGGAGGACGTGAAAACACGACGACCAATTCTCCTTCATCTTTTAACCCTGCATACAGTCGCCTTCGACAAAATAAGCGGGTCTTGATAGACACGATAAAGTTTGAAAGAAGACATATTCACTTTTAGTGACGTTTTCACTGCCGTCGTCGTCATTGCTTAAGCTCCCTTGCAAACCTGAGCACATGGGAGGAACAGCGCCTTACTCTATTACAAATACTCTTTTATATAATAAAGTAAGTAATTCATGCATTTTGATTGATCCTTACTTATGATCTATTAGAGGACAGATGCACGATTGACGTCATCAGCCGAAGGGAAAAAATTTTTTTTTCCAAAATGAAAATTTTCAAACTTTGGGAAATATTTTCCCGGACTGGGCGAACGAGGAGAAAGAAATAACTCTTGTCGAGGCAGTTGATAAATTCCAAAAGGAAGAAGAAGAAAAGACACGTTTCTACGTGGAGAATGACTTGGAAAAAATTCTGGAGCAATCTCAGTCGCTCGCGACAAAACGAAACACAAAATGGGTCGTAAAATTATTTGAGGGTAACAAACAATTTTTTTGCTTCGCATTTAAGTAACACAAAAAGCAGAAATTTAAAGAAATTGATTTATTAGACAATTTCAGCACTATACAGTCTCAAAATAATTGTTTACACAGATTGGTGTCAAGCAAGAAGCATCACAACACCTCTCCTTAAAATGAATACAGCAGAATTAGACTTAAACCTAGCAAGGCTTTATGTCGAAGCGAGAACGAAAAAAGAACGAATACAGTCGCTCAGCACTTCTTGGTTTTCGGAATTCAATTGAAAGATACCTAAACAACAATGGCCGTACAGTGAAAATTTCAAGGAACCAAGTGTTTCAAAAGAGTAACAAAATTCTGGACGCGAAGCTACGAATCAACCGCCGCCCCGGCAAGGAAAACGTTCAACATAAACCAGTTATCGTACCTTGAGACCTCGCAAAGATAAGAGCCAGCTCTTTCCTCAGTGTCACAAATCCAGCCGGATTGCTAAGGAGAACTTGGTTCTACGTTTCTCTGTACTGGTGCATGCGTGGAAGGGAGGGACAGCGAGATCTTCGCTGCGACAGTTTCAAGTTCCCCAAAGATGCAAAGGGCCGCGAGTACCCAGTTATGACCCACGAAGAAGCTACAAAAAAACATCCTGGTGGTGAAACCAGCAAGCCCTCAGCTGAACGAGAAACAAGGCACTGGAGCAGACGATGATGAGTTTGCCAGTCTCAAATTGTACGTGTCCAAGTTGAATCCCTCCTGCCCAGCGTTCTTTCAAAAACCAAAAGCCAGATTCACCACAGAAGACATCGTGTGGTATGAAAACAGCCCACTTGGCGTGAACAAGCTGGGAGATATGATGAAGATCATATCCAAAGGAGCGAATCTCTCTCAAGTTTACACCAATCATTCCGTGCGGGCTTCAGCAATAACCGTGCTTTCAGATGCGAATGTACCCGACCGCCATATAATGTTCGTCTCCGGGCATAGCAGCGAGGAAAGCATCTCACACTACAGCGCCAGGCCATCGGCACCTCAGCTGGAAAGTGTATCCGACACAATCTCCAATGCTCTTCAGTACAACCAAACTCAAAGTACACAAATTTCTACCGTTTCCAGCACTCCATGAGCTACACCATTAATTGAAAGCTTGAATCGCATTGCTTCCAGTGTGTCAATGTCGTCCGCATCAGCAAGCTTCCCGAGCGGTTTTTTCAACAACTGCAATATTCAAGGCGGTGTGCAAGTGTTCTTCGGGCTTCAGAACCGCTCTGATGAGCAAAACGGACTAGATTTTAGCAGTATTTTGCAACACATTTCAAGATTTCCGAATCGAATTTGAGCTTTCGCTGTGATGTGAAATCAATCACTAGAAAAATCAGAAAAAATTCCCACCCCCTCAGTTGAGAATAGAATTCATGAACCTTCGAGTCCTAGATCAGATTCTCTAACCACTGAGCCAAAACCTCTATATTAAGCATTAGCATTTGACTTGTAAGACTGATCCTAAATGGGATTTCTGTGGACCAACGGTGATTTAAAACTCGCCAGCGATTCACCAAGACAAGACTAAACAAGGAATTGTTTAAAAAATGCATCTTTCCTCGTGTTTTAAAGTAAAACTATTCTCTGCTTCTTGGTAATCCTGGTGATTTCTACTTTTAGGGTGTTTTCTTTGGTTATGAAGTGGCCTTGAAGTTATTTAACTGGATTGTACCAGAATAAGGATTTTTTCCAGTGTCATTAAAATAATGAAAGCCTTCTATCCCGTGGAACGACGGAGAATGCGACGAACATTGTGTGTGTTAATTTACTTTGCTTTTTAAAAACACTCGAGCTCTGAAGTTCAAAAGCCAACTGAAGTTTGCGTTTTTCGCTGCCGTCAATGATCCTAGCGGACCTCTTAGGACACAGAACTTTACTTAAACAGGTTCAAAAGGTCATTGTTTGTGATCTGTGGTTGGTGAATTTCAATCGGTTTTGTGTGTTTGTGTGTTTCAAGGTTCGTTGCTTTTGATCGTAGTTATGATTGACGGAAGCAAAAAACGCATTTGTGAAGGCGGCTTTTGAACTTTAGAGTTGGCCTGTTTGTGAAAAGCGCAGTAAAAACGGTCGTTTTATTTTGGAAATTCATGTTTATGAAACAAAAATGCGATAATGAGAGATTCAGTTGTAAGCTTTCTTAGCCTACAATGCGAGGAGCTGCCTTTATTGCCGACGATGGCGTCCTTCGTGTCGACGTCCACGGAGAAATTGATGATTATGAAAAATAGTCAATGATAATGGATACAAAAAGAAACAAACTATCTACCCCTCAGCATAGGGGGGTTGTTTGGCATCAAATGCGCCAAACTTTTGTATCGTGGTCGTGGGGGTGCCTTTCAGAGCTGTAAATAATTATAATTTGAACCATTTTACCTTTTTTTCAACACGTCAAAGAAAACAAAGCCATTTCTCTCCGCTGACCGCAAATAGTTTGTCGATCCTGTCAGGGTGATAAAAGACGAAATGATAGAAAACATTCAGAAGTGTCGTCAAGCTATTGGCGTTGTCTTTTCAGTTGTTGATTCGAAACTGACATGAAGGAACCGACACTGCTGATCGTAAAGAATAGGGGTCACTCTCCCCGGGAGCTGAGGACTACGCCTGACTCTGTTAATGTGTGGTCACAGTGAATGAGGTCAGTAATTGAGTGATACCGTCAGCCAGTGGCGTGTTGTATCTGACTTCCGAGCCGCTTTATCTACGGTAAAGGGGACATTTTTCTGTTCTTTCATCCATAACCTGGTCAGACAGTACGTTACAGCTATGTACTTCAACTATTACTTCCAATCATTTCAATTACATTCAACCATTGAAAATTGACTGTAATTTCACCCCTCACCCATGTCGTGGATATTTTCGTTATACCAAGTAAGTAACAATTTTTTTTACCTTGTCAAGTGATTAAAATCAGATCAGGAAAATTATAAAACTTAGTCTCGCAAGGTAAAACACTCAACTTATTTCTGAAACTGGGTTAATATAGGAAATAGCAAAGCGATAACATTTCCAGCGACCTCTTAGATTCTCGACTGTGAATCTACACGTATTAAGCGGGCGAATGGTTCAGGTTGCCTCAACTTTTCTTCCCATGTTTTCTGTTTAGCAAACTTGTACGTAGAGGTCTTCTTTATTAAGGACACCAGCGAAAGTCATGTGAGTGTATGTTTAATACAAGTTACACTTCATTGTCTACACTGTCTTTTAACGACTTCAGTCTTTAGACTGAAATACTAATTGGTTTCTACATATGATCAGTTAATACCTTTGCATCTCCTTTATTTATTTTCTCCAAATTCAATAGTAACGTTATCGCCAATGAGTACAAATGGGGCCCAGTACTGCGGGGCACAAAACTTGTCCAATTCTCGCAAAAATTTCAAGGCCTGGTGAAGAGCAACACTGGCGCTTTCTCCATATCTCAAATGCTTGTAGAAACTTTTCATGAACTCCATTGTGGCCTCGTCATCAATGGCCCAGAGTGACACAAGAACAGAGCGAGCACCAGCACTCAAGAAAGCCCGTGCCATACCAACCACGCCCTCAGACATGACTGTACCTCTACTACTATGACAACAGCTGAGTACAACAAGTCGTGCTCGCAACTTAACAGCCTGCACGTCGGACATTGTTAGAGTATAATCCGGCTCTTTAGGAACCTCGGTCGTATACCCAGGATTTGGGGCCACAGCAATTTCCCCGGTTTCCTTCCTCCTGTGAGCTGCAATGTGAATTAATGCAACTGAAGTGATTTGTTCGAGCACCGCGTGTTTGGTAGCTTTTTTTCCGGTTAGTGGCTTGACCTTTAGTACTTCTCTTATCATCTCTACTTCCTTTCTGGCGTAATACAGCTAGGCGTAAACGGGCTTACCACTTCTTTAGGTAACTTGTTTCAGACATGGATCTCCAACAAGCAAGGCCCCTCTTTTGATGTGGTATCCGTCAGGGGAGTCGGAACGGTTCGGATCCTGACACAGGTTGAAAAAAGGTGTTTCCGTTTTCGTTTTTGTAACGGTTACCTCACGGAAACCTCAATATCCGCAGACGGAATTGTAACTAACCGTTGCGGGAAACACGTGTATACGTCATGTTTCAGTTTCTGCGGACACGCTTAAACGCATCCCTTATACTTGCGTTTCCGTCAGGTTTACTCTTGCGGAAACGCTAACTGCCGTCATGTTTCCGCAGCTCGTAAATTCAGAGGATACTCAATTATCCGTTGAGTTCCCGGAACAATGAATTCGGAAACTCAGTTTGATAGGTTTACTTTCTGCAGCCTTCATGTTTCCCCAGATTCCACTTTCGGTGGATTATTCACTGGATTTCCTAAATGTGTGAACTTTACTTAACCATCCAGTTTCGAATCATATGTTCATTCTATCCGGTATATAAAAAAGTGGAGACAACCCTGGACCGTTTCTTGCATCCACAAAGACCCATTTTCGCTGATACACACAAATCAAGAAGAGCCATATTTAGGTGCATTTTTGGTATTAAAGTTTTTAATATATAGATTTAGCCAGGGCTAAAAGCGAGGCTCCCATTATATATTTATAATTTAAATCAAAAAATAAACTTGAATTCCACAATTCAGTTAACTTTAGAGCACATAGCACATTCATGTGACTTTTGAGGGAAAGGCTAAGTGATTTTAGAGAAAAATAATTTGCAAATAGCCCAAGAGTGAACAAAATCTTACATCGAGTTGATAACCTCATATGTACACCCAAAAAATAGCAATCATCTTCGATCACATTTAAGAGCCATAATGGCTCTTGTCACCGTAAGATTAATTAGGCCTGGAAAAAAAATCAGGTTGAATTTTTTTGCGTTCGACAAGTTTACTTTACAAAATCTTGCAAACAAATCTGGTTGCGTGTAAACCAACCTTTTATACCATTTATACATCACATCTGAGGTGAAACAGTACTATGAGGTACTGTTTTTATCATACAGACCTCGGACAGAATTCAGTATTTCACAATTTTGCAACAGAAATTGCACTCATTCAATATTCAGGACGATCGAAGCACGCGTGGCCTTTTAGCTAAACCGTTAAAAAAATGTCCAAAATCACATATACAGCCAGCCGGATCTCACTTTTGCAGTGCGAGCTGTAGCGAATATTTGAACGAACATACTAGAGTTAAGCTCCAACATAATAAAGAAATTATTATGTTTATTTTTTATTTAATGGTTTTATCGATCTGTAATCTTTAAAAGCGTTTGATACGCGCGGCATTTTGAGTAC